CTGCTCTAACAGTAGGGTGCCAGGGAGCGTTGCAGCCTCCAGGCCCACACGTCCCCCGGCTGCCTCTCCCCGGGGTGCTCCCCCCATGGCCCGCCAGCTCTGGGGACCGTCTCACACTCTTGCAACCACGCTCTCCCCCCGCTCCGTGCACGCTCGCTCTCACCCTCGCACACCCACACGTGCTGCGATGATGCACGCTGTTGAGGAGCGCGTGCGATCAGCATTAGTCACTGCTTCCCCGTAGGAGGAAGGTTGCGAGCAGAGGAGGAGGAGGAGCGCAGGCACGGTGCGGAGCAAGACCGCAGCCCGCGGGGACAGCCGCTGACGCGTGCACGGCATCGCTGCCGACATCCCCTCTCCCGGTGGCCAAACACAGGCACCGGGATGGGGACAGATTGCTTGGCTTGATCTGGAGCAGGCAGTCTGTCCTGGAGCACTGCAGCCCCAAAGAGGGACAGGGCTGGATCGCCCGGGAGTTCTGCAACAGGGATGTACACGGTTGGACCTGGCCCCGGCAGGGAGAGCAAGGCAGAGCCACCGGCTGGGGTCTGTCCTGGGAAAGGAGCAGCTGTGTTGCTGAGTCTTCCTTCTTTAGAGAGGAAGAGCTGGGTGTGGAGGAATTTGAGGGCAGGTTGCTGAAGCTGGAGGTGCTGATTGGACAGAAGGGTGAAGCACCTGGAGCAGCTTGGCTAAATGGTGGGTGTAAAGGCAGCTAGGGGAGGGTGGGTAGCAGTAAGAGGAGCAGCAGGGCTGAGCACTGGGATATTTGCTGTCAGGAGGTGAGAAGTTTCCCCTGGAAGCAGCCTTGCAGGGACCCCCATAGGGTAATGTGCACCCCAGCATTTCTGTGTTCCCTTTGTTGCCCTGGTACCCTGTGGGTGTTTCATGGATTCACCTCCCTCTGCCTGCTCCAAGCTTCTTTTGGGGAGCTATGGAAAAGTCAGCCCAGAGGTGTGCTCTGGAAGACTCCTTGCTGGAGTCTCACTCCACCCAACCTGGGATAGGTGCATGTCTTGGCCAAGAGGAGTGGAGTAATGGCTCAGTTCTGCTGGGATGTCTTATCTGGTTTGGCTTTCATGCCTTGTTCCTGTTTATCTCTCCCACTTGTACGTCAGCCTGTCACCCTGTCCTACCTTACCTACCTAGTGCTGTGAACCCCTATCCTCTGCATCCCCCTCTGCCTGTCCTGGTGGGGTTAGGGAAGCGTGATCCTGTTCAGGTGGGACCTTGTGCTGAGAAGCAAGCAATAAGCATGCGATCGAGGATGCCTTGTGTGTCAGGCCAGTCCTGGGACCTTCCAGTCCTCCTTCCACTGTGAGCTCCTGCTTCATGACTGCTGTGTGTCTGCTGAGAGCCCTCTGCCCCTCTCTGATGGGCAGCATGTGTATTTGAGCATCATTACCTTAAATATTAACTTATTTCCACCTAATCCAAAGCAAGTTTTTCTACCTAGTCCAAAGTAAAACATAGTAGGTAGAAAACAGGCAAGTGGGAAGCTAAAGAAGTAGCTGTTCCACCTTGTATCTGTTGTGATGATTGCATCAGCCTTAATTACAACAGAACTTTCTGCCCTTTAAAGCAGTTAGGCGCATGTCGCATTCTCAGCTTTCGTGCCTCTGGCTGGCTTTAGCACTAAAATGTTTTCTTTCATGCATTCAAAACAGTTTGTAATTAACAATCACATTGTTTTCCTTTGAACATCCAGGGAGACAGAGAAAACAGAAAGACTGGGAGCTAAGATGCTGATTTAACTGAGTATTATTTTGCTTTCAAGAAATCACTTTTTCCATGTTAAAGCAAATTTTGTGCTGATGAAAAGTGAAATGGTCTGGACTGACAGCCTGGGGAGTCTTTGCTCATCAGTTGGTCTTGAAGCTTGGGAAGCAGACGCAGATATTTGAAGAAATGCTCTCCCATGGATTGGAAGAAAGGCAATCTGAACTCTGTTGCCCTGTTATCTTTCATTTATGTTGTTACACTTCAGCTATTCTATAGATGCTCATGCAGAAAACATTCCTGATGCTGCTGTTGCATTCCTGATGTTCTATTACAAAGTGGTCCCTGGTGATAAAACTACAGCAAGGTACTGGTAGTCACAGGTGTGAAACAGCTCTATGTGATTCTGGAGCTACCCAAGAGTCAGAGCAGAGGGGGCCTTGGCTTTGTGTTTTGTAAACCAAGAACTAGATCACAAACTTCTGTAGTTCTGGTGCGAAGCTTGGAGGGGAGGATTGTTCTCTCCATCTGTTCTTTGCATAGACAATCTGTCTTTGAAAGTCATTGCCGCATAAATCTGGAGGAAGCGTAAATGCAGGAGCACCTGAATGTTGTTTAACAGATGGGGACACACATTTTTCAAAGCACAGAGATTTTCCTTACTTTCCCCCATTTGTATTAGAGCTTTTATTTAATTATTTTTCTCTCTCAGGAGTATCCTTGCAGAGGAATGACAAGCTGGGAATAGTATGGCATCCCAGTCTTGAATTTGTGGCTAACTGTGCTGGTTTTCGCTATGACACTTGCCTATGAAAGCAGTGTGGAGAACATTTCTGAAATATGCTTTTCTTTCTTTCACTGTCTGATTCCTTTCCAACCAAATTCACATTTTTCATCCAAAGAATTCAGGAGGATCATTAGCTATAAGCATGCAGTGTCACAAACTCCCACCCTGGAAGTGGTGTGAGGTGTTTGTCCATTCACCTCAGCCAGCACTCATTCTGATATTAAAACGAACAAACAAACACAGGAACAAATAGTAAGTCAGATATTCATTCCTGTGAACTGTTCTAACTACACATAGTTCTCTTTGTTCCTTGGACAGGGGTCTAGAAGATGTCCCCTTGTGGGCAATGTGACCTCTTGCACTGTTGGTCCTGAAGGAGCATTAATGCATTTAGCCAGTTGGCACAGTGGCTTTTAGTTTTGTGAACTCAAGGACCATTACAAGTCTTCCAACAACAATACAGCCATATTCTGTTGAATGGCAGAAAGGAAATTACTTTTCTTTGCAGCCTTTTCATGAGTCCATGCAAGTAGCTGATGGACCCTCAGGTCTCAAGGACCGCGATTTGAAAGCCACCAACTTATCAAACTGCATGCGAAGAATACTTCATCTAACTTCTCTGGGTGGGAATTAAATTTAGTAAATGGCAGCATTTCATGTGCATATAGGACGGGATTAAGAGAAACATCAGTGCTAGAGATGGAGAACTGTTCCCTGCTGCAAAGTCCCTGCTCGTTGTGAGCTGAGCCCTGGCTGTGGATCCACAAGTAGCAGCCTAAGGAGACAAATCTGGCTCCCTTGCGTCGTTTCCAGCTGAGAGGCAGAGCAGATGTGGTATTGCTGACCCCAGACATCCAGAGCTTGTGAATCTGCTCTCCAAATTCAAAAAAAATATTAAATGCTGGTTTCTTTTCACTTGCCTTCTGGCTCTGGATCTAGTAGCTTGCACTCAAATAACACTTAAAGCCTTTATTTATTTTTTTTCCCCAGCTACAAGAACTGGAACGTTTCTCTTTTCTCAGCATAAACTGAAATCTGAGAGTCTTGCTGAATCACTTGTCTCCAGGAATGGAGGCTTTGAGGAAAATATCCAGCATGGAGAAGTTTGCAGTGTACTCATGAGACTTGGCAATGCTGCCAGGAGATGAAACCAAAAATGATGTCATGCAGCCTCGTCAGGAAGGACAACACAAGGGTTGCATTCAAGGCGGGTGCGCTCTAGGGGCAGTGCCCTGCAACTGTGACTGTCTCCTATGTCTGTGACATTCAAAGGTTGCAGGATGCCACAGGAGAGAGGAATTGCTGAAGCAGACTTCTGTATAATTCCTTCTTAGCCTCTTGCTGTTCTGCTACATCTTCCCTTAATGTATGGGTAAACGTAAAAGCAAAGTCTTCTCGATAAGGTTTCTCCAAAAGGAAATACCATAACAGTCTTTGGGACGTTGGGGCAGTGAGATGGGGATGAGGAGAGGGAAACTACCTGGCACAGGAAGGAAAAGAGATGAGGAAAGGATAGCAATAGCTCAGAGCAGGGAAGCGGTGAGACACATGGAGGAGGTCATGCTGTGTCCACGGGGCAAGCTGCAGGCTCCTCTGATGCTGCTCTGATACGAGCAGTCATCTGCTGTAGCCGTGGCTCTCGCCCTTGCCCATCCTCAGCCTTGGACTAAGAGGAAAATGCATCCCACCTTGCAAGGAGAGATACTCCCACCAAAGCTTGCTGATGGCTCAGTGTCACTGGTTTTGTGTCGGAGAACACCACAGACAGAGCCATGGAATTATTTGGTCTCCCTGGACCATAAGCTCTCAAAATCCAGCTACCTGGTAAAGCCTTATCTGGAAAAGAGGGGGAGAAGAGAAAATACGAATGCAGAAGATGCACCCTCTAATTTTCTATTTTCATGTTGCTTTCATGTTCCCTTCTTCTACCTGCTTCAGTCGTCATACTCTTTCTGAGAGAAAGTTGCTGTTGGAAAACAGAGAGAGAATACGACAAACACTGCTGTGGAATTATTTAACGAGCCAGAATGAATTGCATTTGAAATCATTTAAATGGGATCTGGGAGTATTTAACTGCAGCACAGGAACTTAACAAGAGTGGGAAAGGATTTTGTGCTAATTACTGGCAATGATATACCTATGGAGAGAGAACATGCAGCAATTAGTAAGCAAGGCTGTAATTTCAGCCTCAGGTCTCTGCCTGCCCCAGAATATGGCATGGATTATCTGCTGGAAGGAGCCCTGGTCCACAGGTGACCAGAGAAACTAGCAGATGAGGTTCTCATGAGGAACTGATTAACCACATTTTTCATGGAGCAGCCTGCAGGAGATGGGTCTGGTCAGGACCCATCTGTTCTTTGATGCCACCGTGGTCTGAGTCCTGACTGCGTGTTCTTCAACCTAGAATGAATCAGATTTGCAAAAGTAAAACAAAACACAAACCCCGTCCAGCCCCTTCCTTGTTGTTTTACCCACTTCCTTGCCTGCCTCCAGGCTGCCCAGATGCTGCAGGAACAGCCGTTGCCAGCTTTCCCTCTAACCTGGAGCAGCTCCTGCAGCGGCAGAGGCTGAGGACAAATTTGCCTGTTTCTTGCCAAGAACTTGGAAGCTCCAGGACATCCTCATATCCCGACAGCCAGAGCTGCTCCCACATTTGAGGAACAAGCAAAACAAGAGAGGTAAGATGATTATCTGGGTACATTATATGGTCTTGTGCACAGTTTTTGGGTGGACAAAGCCTTTGGGTTGGGTGAGATAACTCTGCAGAGCGCTGGCTGCGGTGGTAGAACCACACTGGGATGAGATGGAAGGAGGGTTAATGAGCAGGAGTGGGACAACACTTCTGTGGAGGACGCCTTTGTGGCAACCAGTCCTCCCCAGCTGCAGACAGGAACCAGTTCACACCAGCAGGATGGCATGGAAACGATGCAGGTGGAAAAGGAGTCTGGGCTTGAGGTCATGGACTAGACAAGTGCCCGCAGAGCTGCCACGTGGTTAAGCTGGCAAAGCTGTGGAAATGAAGGATGCCCAGGGGCAGTAATGAGTGAAACTCCAACCTGAGCAGAGCAAAGCAGCCGGGGGGAAGACCACAGCCCTAGATGGAAGGGAGACTCCTAATAGCAGTGCTTGGAGGGTATCCTTGCTGCAGGGGAAATCAGAAAGCCAACAGCTCTCGACTGTGGCTGACACCCGGCAGCTGCCTGTGGCCTCTGCCGGCCTCTGCTCGCTGTTCCCCGGTCCTGCTGCTCCCTGTCTCCGTTCTCACTCTGTGATGCCTCTGTCTTCAGCTTTTGTCTTTCAATCAGTTTTCATCTCAGTAATTCCCATTCAATGGTTGGTTCCTGATCTTTCTAATTGAGATCAGAGCTTCGTATAATAGAGGAGGGGGGAAGGGGGCGGAGGGAGACTATTTTTAATTTGCTACGTTCCCATTAATAACAAGTTCTAATTAAAAAACCTCCATCTTCCATCCTCCCAAGTTCAGAGAAAAACTCTCTGTGACTTCTGTTGGAATCTTCTCCTGATAAATTGGTACCACAGCCTCCTAGAACAGCTGGTCCTCTTTAGCAGGCATAGTAATTAATGGGAATAATAAATGCATTCAAAGCAGGTTCGTAACCCTCCTTTCTGTGCACTCAGACTCCTCTTTGCATCGTAAGAGACACACATCAACATTTCTACTTGCAAAACAGGCCCAAAAGAACTGCATCCATTAACAAGAAGGGGGTTTCGTTAGTGGTCTCTTGCCCTTAATAAACCTCCTGACACAAAGGCTCTCTGAAGGAAGGAAGGAAGGTTCCCTGTTGGCTGGGAATGAGCCTAATTCAGACAGTGGGGACTGTATCTCAGAGTAGCTCTATGGTCATTGAGGACCTTGTGCTGTTTGTGACTTTCCCATTGCACAGGAGAGGAAATTCCCTTTTTCCTGGAACCTGGCTGGTAGGGAACAATCTTAGGTCCTATAGGACATAGAACGGGTGCTTGGGCATGGACTTGCATTCCTGCTCCACTCCTCGTGGCAGGATGAATATGGGTACGGCTCATCCTTGCCTTGGGCTTAGATGTTCGAACTGGACAGGACCAGCAGCTCTCCTGGGAATGGGACAGTTCCTGCACCTGCCCTGGCAGCTCTGGGTGAAGCCCATCCAGGAACGCTTGCTCAGATATATGGCTGGGACAGTGCAAACCACCTTCTATCCTACCTTTTCCCAGGTCTCCATTTACACCAGCTGATGACTTGGGGCTCCTTGAACACGCACAATCTTTTGTTCACCTCTGCTGAGTTAATGGACTCAGCCAAACAAGGACCCATCAGTGCAAATATCCCTGAGATGAGCAATCTGCCCCGAGAAGTGATTTCAATTAAAGGGTCATTAGTGTGAAATCTTATCCAGCCCAGCTCCCATTTGCCAGCAGGAGGTCCTTCTCCCCATTCTAAGCCCTACTCTGCGGTTGGAGTGTGCTGCTCCTGCAGGAGCCCTCCCGTTTTGCTAAAACACAGCAGCTGCTGCTAATAAACAAACATATTGATCATAGAGATATGGGCTGTCAGGGACTTAATTCATGAATGAAATGTGCTTTAAGAGTGCCTGGTAGGCAGTGGCTCCATTTAAAGAGCTCATAGACAAGATGGTACTTGGAGGTGGAAATTGAGATACCCCGCCAGTGTTTAGTACTGGCCTGTCGAATTCTGTGACTTACGCATGGATCTGAGTAGGGGCTACATTTATTTGTAGGATAGACAGGCACATAGGAAGTTTCCTCTTTGTTATTGCTATTAGGGAAGGATTGTTTTCTGATGAATGGCTTGGTGGCCTCCCTCCTGCTGAGACAGACAAGAGCTCAAGTTGGTGTGAACAGGGAGGGTTTCAGCATCGCCAGTTCACCTCCAGTCCTCCGTAAATGAGCCTTCCTGCCTTGCAGGGGCAGGTGTGTGCTATGCCAGAGGGAAAGTGGAATAATTTGTCCCGTGCTGTGACCATGTTAACACAGGCAACATCACTGTTCAGCCTCCAGGGAGCTGGTCTGGAGTGAGCAACCTGCCCTGCTCTCTCTCATGGAGTTTTTGCGTTCTGTCTTTCTCTCTTTGGCACTTTCCCCAGGCTGAAGCACATGTTTGTGTAACTCTCTGCGTGTGTGGGCACTAGTGTGCACGTAGATGTAGCAGCAATCCTGGTGTTGGGAAAGCAGGACAGTGCTGTGTCCCCAGCTCCTGAGCCACATAGGTGCTCCTGGTGCATCACTGGGGCTTGTCTCAGCCACAGGACGAGCAGCTGGGCAGCCAGCCCTCCTTCAGTGTTAATTAAAAAAAAAAAAAAACCAAGACTACTTCTTTTTTCCCCAAATCCAATGTCTCAAGCCCTGTTGGACCCAAGTCTTGTAGCAAGTTGGGAGTCAGACACATGGCCAATGGCTTCGTGACAGCCCTGCCAGGCTTCTTATCTTGCGGGTATACTAATGCCTGCTGTTGTTTTTAAATTGTCACCACTGCACAGAATCTTTTCAAAACAAGGTACAATCAACTCACAAATTGACACACACAATTGGGCATTGTAATTACTACAAAAATATATTTGAGTGTGTCCTTTCTGGGTGTATTAAATTACATTGAAATACATGAGCGTATGTGTTGAACTGTGTACCATTTTCTATCCTTTTGGTATTAGCTGTGCTGAAAGTAGATTATTAAAATAGGTTTTAGTATTTATGGTCTTGGGATGTGGAGGCCTTGCTGAGAACTTGATGAATGAACTTTCAGGGCCAGGAATAGTTGTCAGTCTGAAATATTTATCAGTCCGAAATCTCCCCGTGATTCATGTCATGTTTGATGATTCCATTTTTTCTCCCCAACTTCCAGCTCCGACACTAAGGGTCGCCGGGCAGAAGAAAGCTCATCTCTCTGGGCCTCTGCTCAGGCCTGTGGCCCTGGTCGCAGCCTGATGGGACCAGGCACTTGACCTCTGAGCACTGCCTGGGGGAGGCAAATCCAGCGCAAGCGATTTTCTCTCTTCCCCCCTCAAGCACAGAGGCAGCGACCGCTGTTTGAACTGGCTGTGGTATTCTGCACGGCGCCTACCTGCTGCGATGCTGTGCCCTGCTCTCTTCCGCCCCGGGGGCCGCCTTTTAGGGCTTACCAAAGAGATTTCTCGTCGGTGCACAGCGGGAGATGGAGACTGCATCTGGATGGATTGCATGCCTCCCCCAGTGTGTGCTCGGATCCCGCTGCCATAATATCTCCACTATGGGACTCCCACATCCCTTTGGTTAAGGAGAGGTTAAAGGAATTCAAGACCCCCAGTTCCTCCCTTGGTTCTTTGCATTAGGGAACTGTCAAGGCCAAGCTGAGAGTCCCTGCGGGGTCTCCCATAAGAGAACTGCTTTTCTGGGGTTGTTGCCAAATTCCCCTCTGCCTCCCCTCATCCCTGGCGTGTAGTTTGCTGAGTCCTCTCCAGACTGCACAGAGCCTCGCAAAGCCACTGGTCTCCCCCTCTCCCGTGAGGAAGGCAGTCTGGACTCTTCACTCTTCACTGCTAATGGAAGAGAAGGGGCTGCCAGCACAGATTAACTTCTCCTGTCTCTTTCGCGAAAGCAGACCCAAACCCAAAGGAACATATTTCCTTTCTGGCCCAGTTTCACGTGTTGATTTTATGGCTCCATTGTGTTTTGTGGCTAAAGGCTGCTTTGCAGACCACAAGTACTGCAGGAGACAGGACTGCGTCCCACTGCAACACAGCATCACATACGAGGGCAAGAGGGTCTGCTGAATGGGAGAAGGATCTGCGTTTCACAGGGATCCACTGCTTGGAAAAGGCTGAGAATCACAACATCAGGCCACTTCTCAGAGCCTGTTCTCAAGAGCTGCAGATGGGTTCGAAAGCACAGGCACAGCAGTACCCATCGCTGAGTGCTCATCTGGAAATGATGTTCCCTTTCCAGATCCTGTCCATCTCCCTCTGCAGGCAGCCAGACTGTGGTTTCTTCCCAATTCCTCCCCATGCACAGACCCTCCTCACAGGCTGCTCTGCTTCTGAGCGGTTCTGCCAGGCAGACTTTTCCCACTGGGCAGGTGATATGATCCTGGATATTTCCAGGTTCTCAGGTCTCCAAGGCACCCAGTGTTAACGAGTTAATAAATCAAAACATTATCTCCTGAGAGAGGGGGTGAAAAACTCCTTGTGATTCACCTGCAGCAAATGCCAGGAAAGCACATTTGCTTGAGGTTTCTTGAAGATACCACTGAAAGGTCAGGTCTCTCAGTGAGACAAAAAGCTCTCTTCTTCTTTCTAGCTGTTCCATCAATACTTGTTTTTCCTCTCCGTTTATTTATACCTTCCTGTCCAAAAAGACATACTTAAAGAGGAAACAACAAGAAATGCTTCTCATTACTGGCTAAGCAGTTTCTGCTTGCAGAGCTCAAGCCAAAGACAGTGTTAGGACTCCAGTATACTTTGTGGGGAGGTAGGAGTGAGATGCAGCTCTTCAATAGCTGGAAGGAGGAGAAAGGGCAGGTTCTGGGCTCAAGATTTATGAAGGATATGAACAAAAGGGAACCTTATGGGCATCTAACTATCTGCAGGTGTATGAGATCTGTCCCATTAGGCCTTACAAATAAGTATAAGGTGGAATCAAGAGCAGGTTTCATTACTGCTGGAGTGATTGCTGATGCAGATTCTCTTGCCTTCCTGGAATACCCTTTGAAGGAATGCTTGTATCCCCGCTGTGAGTAAAGTAAAAGGCTCTTTGGTCTTTTGGACATCTGCCCCAATGGTCCATTTTCTGGGCTCAGCTCTTCCTATCCAGAGCAGCTAACCATTAGGGTTTGGACATGAGCAGCACGTGCTCATTGAGGAAGGAGGCCTCATCATTCAGTGTGGGACTAGGAGCTCTGCGGAAAGGCCTGCAGTCCTCCCTCTTGCTTCTGTGGTTAACAGCACTCTGCTGAGCTAATCATTGCTAGTAATATTCCTTACCTAACTGCTGGGCCCTTAAGTGACAACCGCACCAGCTGCAGCATGCGTCTCTTCCGCTTGCTGACCCTACTGCTCCCTTCTTCCTTATCTTGTTCTCATTTCTCTCTCCCTTGGTCATTATGGCCTTGGTCCAACAAAGCACTTAAACAGGTGTCTCCCTGAATGAGTAACCGGGCCCTCTCCGAGCAGCAAACCTGGAAGGAGGCATCTGGCCACCTTTGCCCTTCATGCACCTGGGGCTTCAGTGGTTTGGAAAAGCAGAAGGGCTGGGGGCAGAATAACTAGGGAAATCCTTGGAACGCCTTGATGACCTGCTAGCTATTGTTTGCAGTTCTAATTGTAAAAAAAAAAAAGAAGATAAATCACTTAGGATTTTCACCCTAGACATGGGGAGTATCATCAGTGCTGTCCTTGGGATGAGTGTGAGATGTCAAAGTTAGCTCCAGGCAAAAGATGGGGAAAAGCTGAGYTTCTGGAGCAGATAGGGCAGGGCAGATAGAGCTTGATAGGACAGGTTGCTTTTAGATGGCTTGATAGGGTGGGTCCAGGGAATTAACCCAGCCCCATCTTTTCCACTTTCTTTCTTAGTCTGTATGTTTATTGGTAGATGGATTACTTTAGATGTACCTCACTTGAGACCAATCACTCATCACCCATTCAGTGTCTGCATAAAACGCAAAGGGAGATAACATCCAAGCCAGGAGAAGTGTCCAAGTCTTCCTTATCGAAGAGACAGTATTTTTTTTTTCCTGCCACAGGAAAGAAGAGTATCTTGGAGTGGGTGAGGAATCTATCAGGAGATAAAAATGTTGCCTGCCAGTGTGGTCCAGATTCTCTGCCTTTCACCCAACAAGAACAAGAATGAGGTTTAGCTCCTCACGCTGGTGAAATGTGTCTGCTGCTCATCTCAGTAACAAGCTGTGGATAAGATAGTGGGGCTTACATTTCAGGACTTAAATATTCAATTAATCAATGGAATATTCCATTAGTGTAATAATCACCTGGCATTGCCTGATCTATAGGTACATCTCAGCTGGGCCTCGCAAATTGATTTCTGATGAAGTTCTAATTGACTGCACAGTCAGAAGAGGACCTGTCTGAGCATATTGAAGCAGGGCTTGTGAAGGCTCTGGCAGCACCGCCTCCCCCCAAGGAAAAGAAAGGAGAAGGGGGAGGTGTGATTTATGCCCCATTTATCACGACAGCCTCTACCCTATCCTGTTTTATTGGTCCCAAGTGAGGCATGAGAGCTTACGGCTTTAATGCGGAAATTTGCAGGCAGCTGGAGACCCCTGAAAGCTGCTGACAGCTGCTTGTCACTTATGCAGTAGATGCCGGGGGTACCTTAAATCCTCAGTCTCCCAACACAGGCTGCAGCCATAAGCAGGTCGCCTGGAGTGGGTTTAGGTTTCCTTGGRCACGTGTGTATCTGCTGGCCAGGATCTGCCATCCTTGTCAGAGCAAGGTCAGCAAAGATGCTGGGGCTTTTCTCTCCTGCTGACATGGCTTAGAGTTGCTGGGGATGGAGGTGCATGGAAGGAAGCAGCGGGCAGGAAAAGCCTTTCCTTCTTCCTTGGCCAGGGCTTGGAGTCCTTCATGCCGGCGCTGATCTTCGTGAACCTGCTGGTGGTTCCCAGAGAAGGCAGCTGTTGGAGGGACACTCCGCACAGAACTGTCTCTTGCAGAGAGCTTGGACTATGTAACATAAGGATGTAGGCCATCTTCAGCCACTCAGGACCAAGGCCACAGGCTTCCACTTTAACCGTCCTACAGGCTCTGGCTTTCCTTAGGTGAACTGCATGTGCAATAAGTTCCCCTATACATGCCTTGGTAACTGTAGAGCATTGGCAGATGTTATGGTCCCAGCCATCTTGAAGGCCTAGTCTGTCTGCTCAGACCTGCAGAGCCCCCATCACACCATAACAYACAAAAGGCCTCCAGAGGCCTTTATCACTGAGGACATTGTTTTAGATCTTCTGACTTCTTTGGGCATTCATGAAATGGCTGATAAAGAGGACGCTTTAGCATCATCTTCCAAGCATCATCCACGGGAACAGAAGAGTCTGTTGGGTCTCCTAAGCATGGGCTGACTTTGCTTCTCTCCTCCCAGCAGCGTGCTGACGTGCTTCTCTCCTCCCAGAGGCCCAGGTGGGTGAGCCGAGCAGGAGAAAGGTGATGGATAGTGATTTCAGGAAAACGGAAAACAACAATATCAAGAAAACCAATCAAAGTGTGTGTGCTGGCTGCTGAATTTTAAGAGAAATAGCTGCATTTTTCAAACATACAGAAGTGACTAACTTCCTTTCCATCCTCTCCCTGCATTAACTTAAGAGACAGCCAGGTGCTTAAAGGTTGCTTTGTAGGCAATGACTGTTCTGTAAAGGGCTACTCATCTCTAACAGAGATAGCTTTTCTTTTATTGAACATCAGCCAGAATGACTGAAACCTGATAAAAAATCTAGAGTGATAGCTTTTTCTTTTCCTTTTTTTTTTTTTTTCTTTTCTTTCCAGTGAGGGATAATAACCATCAAAATAAAAAAGCAATTGCCTCACTGTATGCACTGCTTTAAGCAATGGCTTTGTGTGGCATGGAATACAGCCTAGGTAAATGCCCAATTAGAAAGAGCYTGAAGAAGACTTTTGAACCACCATGTCTGAATCTCTTTTTCCCTCACTCCTTTGTTACATCACCTTTATTTCTAGCCTCATCTCTACTGCACAGGAAGGAGATTTAAGTGGTTTAAGTCCCCTGTGTAGGGTTTAGATGATGAAGTTCTGCCCACGACCATAAGAGCTGGGTAGAAAGTGGTGGTGTGGTTTTGTGGAGTGGCCCCTGCCAAGCTGTGCAGACCTAGGAGTCAACCTGGGGTTGTTTCTCCCTTGTTATAATCTTAAGACATACTGGAATTTGCACAGCTCTCACAAAGGGAGCTTCTCACTGCAAAAACAAAGAGYAAGAATAGCCTCTTGTACATGGGAAGGTGATTCTCCTTTGCACCAAACTTAGGTTGACGGACTGGGAATCAAAACTTTTGTGGTTATAGTTGCTGGTAGCTTCAGAGTAGACTTGATTGATGAGCTTTGACTGATCTGCAGTTTGTTTGTTTTTGTTCTATTTTAAATGAATATTTTTCTAATTACTCAGGGATGACAGTCAGAAATACAACCCATGCCTGAAATCCAGTTGAGAGGAGTGGCAAATGGGGTGACCTCTGTGAGGGGAAGCCCATGTTTACAGCACGGGGCCCCTGCTCTCCACCTGAGGTCCTCACGAGCATCCCGCTCCCTGCAGGCCAGCTGGGCCCTCCAGCGATGGCAAGGGCTGAGATTTCCCATCTCTGAAGAGAAAAACACCTCTGGGCTTATCCCCAGCTCCCCTCCCCTGTGCGCAATCCTAAACACAGTCACAGGAGGTTACTTGGTGGGTGTCCAGTTTGCTAATGGACTCATTAGACTYGCGTGGTATGTTTAGGCCGTCCCTTGAGGAATGCACTTTGGCTGCCCTCARGATCAGATTTGTTGTCCATACTTAGAGCAAACAGCAAGCACGGCTTGGGCACAGCCAGAGTCACAGCCCCCAATATCTGGGCATCCTTGGGGAGCTCTGGCCTGTTTCCTGGTATTTACAGCATCCATATCTGAAGGATGACAGTGAACTGAAGCATAGTAACAGAAATTCTCTCAAAGCCTCGGCAGAGTTTCTCCAAGGTAGKATTTATCCATATTTGTGCATGTCTGGTGCTTACAGCTGCTCTGTGCAGAAAGAGAAGACCATGGTCTCAAAAGCTTTCAACTTTATTTTTATTGGCAACATTAAATTCAATTAAAAGTTGCAGTACATTTTATTTTTTTCCCAGAGTGCTGTTTCTTCTCCCTCTCCTCTTTCACAAGCTGCATGGCATATGGGACAACCACACATGGGGAAGCATGTCCAGTCCTCAGCACCACAGATTTCCACATAAATA